CCCCTCCTCCCCATCCTCCCTTCCCTCCTCCCTCCTCCCTCCTCCCATCTCAATATTCTCCGGCTTTCTGTTTGGACATTCCTCCTTTTAATTTTCTATGAATTCGTAAGGGTTGATGCCTTCTACTGCCTACCCCATTACCACATGATGGCAGCATCCCTACCCCTTTACCACATGATGGCAGCATCCCTACCCCTTTACCACATGATGGTGCCCCCTCTCCCACATACACCGCCACCAACACTACCAGCAGCACGATCGTCAGGCTGTGTTTGCTGTGGAATGTGTGAATCTCCCCGTTATTTGCCCAAGTCAGGACACCCACCCACCACCTCGACCTTTCAGTTGTCTTTTTTCAAGCTTTTTGTTTCCTTTCCTTGTTGAGTGAAATGTACTGCTGTGTCGGAACTTTGCATGAACCTGCCCAGCTGTTCATCCTGGTTCCTGCTTGCTGAGTACACACAGCCTCTAGTCAAGGGAGGTGAAACTACGGTTGGGCGAGAATAGTCTCTCGAGAATAGTCGGTGTGCAAACCTGAACTGTCCTTGGTTCTCCTAACCGAAAGGCTCTCAACGAGTTTGGCCAGGCAAACGCGACATATGCGCTGCGATTAATGCCAGCCATCGATGCATTTCTCAGCCACATGCTCGTATCCACTGAGCTACATTGAGGGCTATTCACACTAGCATTTATTCGACTGAGCTCTGGACGTGATTGTGGTCAGGTACATCCACGGGTGGCTGTATTTGCAGACAGATACATTAACGAATGGCCAGTTTGAGTATGTGCTGAGGCTCCTTGATTCACTCTTTGTATGGATGAATTGGGAGCCAAGGGATATCCGCCGAAATTGGAAAGATACAGTGAAGTTTTTTTTTGTTTTCTTTCCCTCCTTGCACAGGGGCATGCAATCTTCTCTGTATCGTTCCAATTTTAATGGATGTCTCTAAGGACCAGAGAAGAGAGAAGATTAGCATGCCCCCCATGCACGGATGATACACACAAATTGAGGAACAGTCCAAATTAGAAAAGAAAATGCCCATGGTAGTTTTCTGCTCTTTTTCGTTATCCCATGGATTGTTCTTTACTCTTTCCTCTCTTTACAAAAAGGCCATGACCTTGCGATATCATCATTCGTTGAACTGACCGCCCCTAGGTAATTCAGAAGTATGCTATTTTGTTAATCTGACTGCATCTGGATTTGAACTCGGGTCTGTGTTACAAGAGCTCAAGGGCGTACCGACTGACGTAGGCCCGTTGGTTCCCATGGATTAGTCTGATGCATGGGAATAAAAGATGTGGACCCGGAGCAAGGTCCAACTTCCCGGATTCTGCGTGTGTAATTTATGGTCCAGAACAAAGAATCTAGGCAAGGCGAGGACAGAATCACCTCACCGTTCTATTGGTAATAGGAGGCTCCGCCCTATTGGCGGACTCGTTGCGTTTCCTTTATGAAGGGTTCATGATATTGGTTGGGAGGTCTGTTCTATCAGGGAGGGGGGCTGCATTTGCCGGATACTGGGGGTGAGGTCCCGTTCTCCGGATTCTGCATTTCTGGCCATTGATCACTGTCTGCTGTCCAGTATGAAGAATCCTGTCAAGTGTGACTGCGCCCGAGGGACCTCGCCCATAGGACGCACCCGTAGGACCTCACCTGTAGAATGCATCCGTGGGACCTCACCCGTAGAACCTCGCCTGAGGGACCTTGCCTGTGGGACCTCGCCTGTGGACAGAAGGTTAACCGACCCCCCCATTTTTCACCTCCATTTACAAAAAAAACGAAGGGTCATTTTAACCATACTTCACACCAATCTGTAGAGTGCACTTCTTACTAACTTATTGTAAAAGAAAAACCAAAAAAAAAAAAAAAAAAAACATATAAAACAGAAAATCAAAAATGCACTTTAGGGGTGAAAAGTGGGGGTACCTGTTAACCATTTGTGCGCCTGTGGGAACCCCCACCCGCAGTTTCTGGTAGGTGCAGCTTCTCAGCAATAGAACGACACCTTTGCTTTTTTTTATTTATAAAAGTGAAAGGGTGGGGGTGGGGGGGGGCGGTCTGACACATTGCATCGAGGACATCTCAGCGTTGTGCATTTGGACTGCTTTGAGTTGCTGCTTTGTTCTTTTCTGTCTTTTGGTTGTTGTGGACCGAAGAAGGGAGAAGGGGTTGGGATGCTGGAGGTTGGCTATGCTTGTTTTGGATGGCCCAGCATTCTTTCTGCATTGCATAGCCTAGCATAGCATATAGTGTAGCCAAATATAGCACAGCATCTCACATAGCACAACATAGCATAGCATAGTACGTAGACTAGCATTCTGTTTTGGGATTATTCCTTGGTATTGGGTGGTGATATGAGTGGCTTCAGTTGGTGTTCCGACTCTTGTGTTGGCTGCTCAAGGATATGTGGCTGTTATTGTTATGCATGGCTTTATGTGCTGACAGGGGGAGGCAGGGGTTAGTGGGAGATTCCTGAATGTTCAAGCTGAGGGTTTAGGACTGGGACCCAGCATGTTGATGCTGACAAAGCACGAACATGACCACAGTTATTACCAGGTTCATGCTTCCCTGAACATAACAAACCCTGATAAGGATTGTTTACAAGCTATATTCCGGGTCAGGTGCAGTAAAAATGAGGGTGCATTGTGCTCGGGGGAAATCGGTTGGGGGGCAGTGGGGGGTGGGGAGAGATTCCCTTGCCCTAAATGTTGCACACTCCCACGTGGCATTCGACGTGTGCGCCCCGGCGCGGGGCCTGCGTTCACAGTTCTCCCTTCCCTCACCACGTGGCGCATTTAAACGCGATTGAATGCGCCCGAACAAGGCTTGAATGCGCGCGTTTGAGAAGTTGAACGTGTGTTCGGCATGTTCAAACGGTCACATAGATAGCATAGCATAGCATATCACAGTGCATAGTGAAATGTGTGTGTTTGGGATTTGTTCAGTTGCCTTCGCCGTGCGATGTGCATGCCCTTGGTGGTGGTTTTTCTTGACTCTTGTGTTTGTCGCTCTGTGCTTCTATGTTGAACTCCATGTGGTTGCAGATCACCGCACGCTCGCGGCCAAGGCTTTGCGTGTGGAGTTTTGCACGTATTGTTTTCTGGGCCAGCAGCTACACTGACTTCCAGTTGAGGAAAAGACAGAACGGAAGAGGACGAGGATAATAACCATCAATGATTTCAAGAACGGTTGCAGCGGCCTTCTCCCAGCATGCAGAATATCCGCCGGGGCTATGCCAGCGCTTAGGGGAAGTTGCTGCTGCTTATGGGGATGGCGGCTTACCTTCTTCGTCCCCCCCTTCTCTTTCGTCCTCCCACTCCCGCTCTTCCTCCGCCTCCTGCTCCTCCACCTCCCCCACTTTCAAGTTTCCTAAAGCATCGCAGAAGCATTACGGAAACACGGGCTTGTCCCTGCCACCGTCTTCTGGATGGCGGTGGCAAAAGCGCAAGGGCTTGTCAAAGCTCTGTGTTGCGTGCAAGAGGAGCAGTGAATATGACAGCCATCATCATGCTCGCGGAGGATCAGTGTCCATGAACCAAGATATTGTGCTGTGCAATGGAATCGGGTTTCAGGGCAGCACAAGTTCGGCGCTTGTGCAGAATGAGCGAGTGACACATGGCAAGGATGCGCTGGACATCAGATTGAGCAATTTCTGGGAGGCAATGGAGAGTGGCCTTAAAGAGCGGGTTGCAGGAGCTGCTGCTGCTGACATTGCTGAGAATGCGCACCAGTGCGATGGCAGTTTGTGCAGTTCTTCTTCATCGGTTTGCCGTGATCGTGAGGGAGAAGAGGCTAGGCATGTCCTCTTGGCGGTGGATTGGACAGCAGTGCTAAGGAATGCTGGGGGAGTTGCGGTTGCACTGCTCTTTGCAGGTGGTTGTTTCCTGTTTACCCCTCAGAAGTCTCTGGCTTTAGCTCGCAGTCGGGGCAGAGGTCATGGTCATCGCCCGACCTCGGGAGAGACCGCTATGGTTGTGATGGCAGGGACCGGTCTGAATGCGGAAGGAAGACGGGGGATTCAACTTGTGAGCAGAAAGAAGGCGGAGATTGCCAACAGGTTGGATCTTGCAGCGCTTGGGGAGAAAGCAATTTTAAGTCATCTTCAGAGGTCTGTTTCTGCCAATGCCGATGCCATCTGGAAAAATGTCTTCTGTACTTTCTGCTTCGAAATGTGATGTCCATTGTAATGCTGTGTCACGAAGGTGCCTTTTTTAAAAACGCAGGTGCGTTTGTGCTTAGCCTTTTGCATTTTTTTTCTTTCTTTTTTTCGAAAAAAAAAAGGCGACGGCCTTGAGATATCATCATCGAGCTGATTGGCCCCAGACAATTCAGTATGATTTTAGTCTGTTCATCTGATGGTATGTGGATTCAAACTTGAGTCTGTATTTCAACAGTTCATGGGTGTAAAACACAGGTGCGTTTGTGCTTACCCTTTTCTATGTTGCTGTTTGAACGCTGAAAATGCGCGTTCGCGTTGAAGCGGCCCCGCTCAAACCGCCACATGCCGCGTTCAAACGCGTATAAACGCACCATGTGGCAATAGACAGGAGAAATCTGAACGTGCGCCCCCCACCAGCATGCGCGCGTCGAGCTTCACCTTGGGGGGGCAAGACGTTTAGAAAAAAAAAGTGTCCCCTGCGGACACACACACACACACAGTAGTTACTGAACAACGTGCTTGTACACCTTTTTTTTCATTTTCGTTTTTTTTTGGTTTTTGTTTTTCTTCTTTTATTTGTTTTCTTTCGTTTTTGTTTGTTTTGGGGGGTTGCGGTGCGCACGTCCCTTCGTGACCACCCACGACCCCTCCCCTGGTGCTAATCGATCAATCAAACAATCATCAATCAATGTGGAGCTCTTCTTTTTGAACTTCCATATACCGGGCAGTTCTATTTGACGGTATATACCCTAACACCCTCAAAAGAAAAGTCCGAAGGGTGAAAATGAAGATGAGAAATGAAGAAGGAAGTGCAGGTGCGCTGAAAAGCGAACGTGGTAGACTCTTCACCAAAACTGCAAAACTGTGAAAGAAAGAAGAATGCAGTGAAAGAAAGAAGATGTTTGGGTCACTTTTTTTGTTTTTTCTCCCTCTGCCTATCGGTTTTCCTTTTCTGCTCCTCTCTTCCTTGTGTTTAACACCTCTTCCTTCACTCTGCCTCTTTCCCATAG